ATGCACATTTTTATAGTATAACAAACTGGAGTATTCAGAATTAGAGTAGTGAGATCTAAACTTGAGTTTGGGTGTTTGAAAGTCGCGTGATTTAATGCTAATTTGAAAAACTTTTTTCTGACAATTACATTATTGAAGAGCATTTCACCAACTTCACTGTACTATTGAGTAACACGTTTAGAAGCTGTTAGGTGTGCTTTTGTCTAAGTCAAGCAGTAATTTCTTTTGTAGTTATCGAAGAAAAAGGACAAAGTAAAAGGTAAAGTAGAAAGAGAGAAGTAAAAAGTAAAGCGTAAAGGGCAAAGCATAAAGAGGAAGCAAAGGGCAGAGTGAAATGGGCCAAGTAAAATAGATCGAAGAAAATAGTGATTTAAAAAGGGCTATTCTATTGCTGAGTCGCCATTTCATTTCTAACTCAATGGTTTTCTATGAGATTTTACCTGAAATCTATCGTATGTCAATCAATATTTACCATTTATATTGTCATTTTATTATATCTAAAACATCTTTCACCCAAATTTTAATCGATTTTATAAACTATAAAAGAGACTTGCCACATAGAAATCTATCTGAAAATGCTTCAGATTGAGCTTTCAAGATGCAATATTAAGTGATTCGCATATAAATACGTTATATTTTTTAATACTCTTCTCTAGAAAATGACTATAATTACAATTCGAATATCATTATTTTTCACGATTAAATTATTAATATCTCGTAAGATAGCTATAAACGTCAATACAATGCTTTAATTTCATTATTTTAACTGAAAATTTATACGTGTAGAAAATTAACGTAACGTAATATTCATTTAATTATTAGTATTAAGTGTAATAAATGTATTATTTAAATAAAACAACATCATTACATCTCCTTCACTGTAACAAAAACTTATTTAATTATAGTTAAATTACGTAACTAAATTACTATTTAGATAGGAAATTTAAATGAAAAATGAGAAAAATTAATATAATTTTGATATAAAATAAATTAAAATCGAATTTAAAAACAATTTACCCTCGTCAGTTACGAATAAAAAACACGAAAGAATCTCATTAAAGTTGTAGATAAGCATTTTACGTGTAAAGAATAATTAATGTTAATTAAAGTTTAATTAAGTTTTGAACAAAATTAAAGTTAAGCTTCCTTCATTTTTTTAAAAAAATCCTTTCTTAGATGAAATTTATGTATTTATAATACTAAAAATGCCGTTTTGAATGTTAAAAGGACATTGATTTTGCTGTAAAATGGTGGATGAAGGTATAAAATAAACAATATTTAAACAAGTTTGCTTTATTTCTCTTTAATATTTACACGGAAATTTATCATCAAAAATAAATTTTATTCGTTTTATTTTACTTTCTTTCCGTAAAATAATAGTAATTTTACAATATTAATAAGTTAAAGCATAATTCAACCGCTATTTAAATTAAACTTTTAACATTTTAAACAAAGATTTTTCTTCTATTTTCATTCTTTAATTTCAAAGTTTTATGTTTGTTCGTTTATTTTAAAGTTTTATTTTATTTTTTATACCATTTTAATATTTTATACGCTTTAAACTATTAAAAATTAAATTTTAAATATATATAAAAACAAAGATATAAATGTTTTACTATTGATAAAAATAGGAATTTTTAATGGCCTCTACAACAAGTATTTTTCTTTTGTTACACGAAAATAATAAATTATTTTATGTTTATAACTCGATAATTAAGGAACTTTCGTGTTTAAAGATTCCTTACAAGGGGTAAATAAATCGAAATTCTAGAAAAGAAGCCATGTTGTAGCGCGATAGTGGGCATTTCTCTTGACGGAAGTGACGCCACGGAGTTGTCTAGACGTCATTTCCGGAAGAGGATATACTAATTTTGTGCCACCCTAAAGTTTTCTCTTTACAGGGGGTGTTTTTAAGACACGATTTTATTTCTAATACTTTCAAACAGGGGTGGTGATGTTATAGATTCGAAAACTTTGTGTTGTAAGTAATTGTACTTATTATAATCACAGTATATTAAAATTGCAGATGAAAATTTTGATTTGAGAATTGCCTTATCATCAATTTAGTTATATCAGAGGTAAGATCTACAACTCGAAAACTTCGATACAAATCAGCCTTTAAGGTTATACGTGCGGTCGATGAGGATCACCCCCTTTACACAGCTCACTTCTTCCGGTTAAAACTGGAGAAACGGAGACGAAATTTATTGATGAAGGGTAAAAGTTTCTATTTCTGAACAGGAAAATAGATTTACTGATAACAAAAAAGTATCTTAAACGCCCTCAGGCCAAGTTAGGTGATGTTGAACAGAATGGCATCCTCCTCTCCCTCTCTCTCTCTCTCCTTCTTCTCCCCTCCTTCTTTTCCTTATTTTTCTTCTCAATTTCCTTAAAAAAATAAAGCTTTTCACAATGCAAGACTTTCTTTCCCTTTTATCCTAAGTGGAAAAACATTTAATGAAGTAGTCAATACTTCTCAGCGTGAGTAATTCACTTCATTGTTTATGTAACAAAAAGGCAAATTTATATACTTTCATAACAGTAGAGTAGGAGAAAAACTGTTTACAACAGAAATTTAACCAATAATAATTCAATTTATAATCATTAAATCGATGGTAATTAACTTTAACAATGCTGTAATTATCTTCAGTTTTAAACAAAGAAAATCAATTAAAATAGAATGTTGTTTCGAATTATGTCAGCTGTCGTTAAAAGGGGGGATTTTTTTTTATTTTTTATTTATTTATTTTTATTTTCGACTCTGTTACATGGAATTTAAGACGATAATCTCTACCTACGTTCTGATAATCTGGCATTTCTCCCTTCCTTTCTCCTCCCTGTCCTTACAAAACAACAGCAACTAAGGGTCAAAGTTCACGACATATATAAAGAAAAGTAAACATTTTACAAGCTTTAAAAAATCATATAAATTTATTTGACTTAAATAAAACAAAATATTATTGTCAAACTTTATAAAATTTTAGCTGAAGATAAGGTAAATAAGATGAAAAGAATTTTATTTATTTTTATTATTTCTTTGTTTTTATAATCCAATTTAATTTTCTATCGTTTTAAATTTAGTAAATACTTTTATGGCTAACACCTTTAAGTACTTTTGAAAATCCAATTTTTGCATAATTTTAATTTTTTTTTCTGTATAAATGTGTGTTTATGTATGCTTTTATAATGTCTTAATCTTGATTTTATATTGATTTTTTTAATGTTTATATTAATCGGTATTTTAATGAAATTTATAAATAATCCTAACAATTTCGTCGATTATTTGAACCTCTAAACAACGGCCACCTGTAAACAGCGGCCATTTTTTTTTCAAGAACTTCTGTATTTTTAATAAAAATATATACAAAATAACTTCTATATAACGGCCACATTTTCAGGAGCAATTTTTTTTAAACAACGCATAGAAAATAAATTATCCTCCAAAAAAAAAAAACGGTAATTTTTAAACGGCGACCATTTCTTTCAAGAACTTCTTTCTTTCAATAAAAATGCGTACAGAATAAACTCTATACAACGATAACCTCCTAACAGCGGCCATTTTTTTAAATATTTTCCTCAGTACTGTTGTTCAGAGATTTGTCCATATATTCTATAATTCTTTTTCTTAAAAAGGCTCCATTTTACTTTAACTACGTCACAAAATTACTCGATTCCACTTAACGTCACGAAATTACTCGATTTCAATTTACGTCACAAAATTACGCGATTCAACTTCACGTCATGAAATTACTCGATTTCACTATACGTCATGAAATTACTCGATTTCACTTTACGTCACAAAATTACTCGATTTCACTTTACGTCAAGAAATTACTCGATTTCACTTTACATCACGAATTTACTCGATTTCACTTTACGTCACAAAATTACTCGATTTCTTACGTAAACGTTGAAAAATAATCTATTTCACGAAACTGATTAATATTTTTAAGTAATCGATTTCATCTCGGGCGTGTTTTAAAATCTATCAATTTCAAATGAAATAAACTAAATTTTAGAAGAAATTTACAATTTATTAAAGATAATTTAAGATAAATTGATTATTAAACTGCACATTTAGCATATTGAAAGTATTTTTTAGTATTATTAAATTTTTTAAAATAAACATTTTTAATAAAATTATTATTATTATTTTTTTTCAATTTCTGTGGATTAAAAGGAATTTTATTAGAATTTTAAAATTAAAAATCCTCAAATATTCCCGTGTTTTAGTAAAAATTCGCGTGGATTTAGCGTTGAAAATACTGAAAGGTTGTTGACCACTTTGGTAACAAAGTCATCTACCTTTAATATACTGCATATATGTTACGTAGGCTGCGAAGAGGCGTAACAAATATCATCCTACGTATTTTTTTACATCAAAAATATGGAATTTTTTAAAACAAATTGGTTGCATTTATTTTTAAAATCAAATTTTCTCCTCATAATTACTCATCAACGGTTAGACTTTATATAAAACAAAAATTAATCTTTTAATACTCTTTAAATGTTACTTAAATAAATTATACGTTGGCAGGTAATAATAAAAATAAAATAAAACTAAAAAATTTTAAAATGCTGTAGAAATGTTTCATGTTTTACGAATTGACAACTGAAAACTTAGTTAACCGTATTTTAAATACTTTAGTAACTGATTTCTGAGCGTCTGTATTTAATATTAGCGTGCAATTTTGCTCGGTCCAAAACTCGGTTAACCTAGACGTATAGAGACGAGTTAACTCGGTTAACAGACTTTTAGACCACCCTATATGTTAATATTTACATAAAAAATTTTAAAGTTAGATAGTAACAATAATTGAATTGAATTTTCTAGAAAATGAATATGCAAGGTGGTCTAAAAGTCGGTTAACCGAGGTGTGTTAAATTAAGCGTACTTGGTTAACTGATTTTTGGGCCACCCGCATTTTATATTTATATTTAAAATATTATTTTTAATATTTTATTTTAAAATATGTTTATAATATTTTTTAAATGTACAGAATCACGAAGAAGTTAATCATAGAATATCTCATAAAAAAAATTCGACAAGAAGTCAAGCCACGATAACAGGTAAAAAAATAAAAATAATAAAAATAATTTATATTTTAATTATACGTAATTATAATATTAATATTATAAATAATACTAATTTTTTTATAAATAAATACTTGAAGAAGATATAAATTTAATTTTTGTGTGTTGTTTTTTTATTAAATAATAATAATAATATGAAATAAATAAATTATGTAAAGTTTAATTCATAAAATTCACATAATACGCAGTGGCCAAAAAGTCAGTTAACCGAGATATACAGAATTAGCCAAATCGTACTTACTCCTGGCTCAATGGGTAACACCACTGAGCAATAATGGTCGTGGGTTCGTACCCGAACAACAGGTTGGCTGCGTGGAGTTTACCGGGTTTTCTTCACGTGTCTAACATCTAAATTTGGGGCCATTTTCTATAGGAAGTCGTTGAGGGAGGAATCACCCCTTCGGTTGAATTCCCACATGTTGAGTTGCCTTCTCCCATCAGTTTAATCTAATACGTTAGTAAACTCGGTTAACTGACTTTTGGCAAATAATTACAAATACAAATAATTAAAGAGGATATAAAACGTATTGTTATATCTACTTTAATTTTTAAAATTTATTTATAAATAATTTTACAGCTCACCATGGCTTGTGAGCGCTAAGATTGGCNATTAATATTATAAATAATACTAATTTTTTTTATAAATAAATACTTGAAGAAGATATAAATTTAATTTTTATGTGTTGTTTTTTTATTAAATAATAATAATAATATGAAATAAATTAATTATGTAAAGTTTAATTCATAAAATTCACATAATACGCAGTGGTCAAAAAGTCAGTTAACCGAGATATACAGAATTAGCCAAATCGTACTTACTCCTGGCTCAATGGGTAACACCACTGAGCAATAATGGTCGTGGGTTCGTACCCGAACAACAGGTTGGCTGCGTGGAGTTTACCGGGTTTTCTTCACGTGTCTAACATCTAAATTTGGGGCCATTTTCTATAGGAAGTCGTTGAGGGAGGAATCACCCCTTCGGTTGAATTCCCACATGTTGAGTTGCCTTCTCCCATCAGTTTAATCTAATACGTTAGTAAACTCGGTTAACTGAATTTTAGCAAATAATTACAAATACAAATAATTAAAGAGGATATAAAACGTATTGTTATATCTACTTTAATTTTTAAAATTTATTTATAAATAATTTTACAGCTCACCATGGCTTGTGAGCGCTAAGATTGGCTTTACTTTACCGCTAGACTTACAGTATTACACCACCACAGGACACTAAATTAGATTTAAAAAACACCATTTCCATTAAAAACGGTAATATTGATACAATAACATAATAATAATAAACTGAGGTTCTGGTAAAACAGTAAAGTCGTAAAAATATACATGGCTAAAACAAAATGATAAGTAGATTCACAGTAACACGATCAGAGTAACAAGACGATTCGAAGTACATTCTAGGGTAACCTTCACCTTCACCCCTATCCGTTTTCACACCTCTCCCCTCCCCCCACGCTTCCTCTGATCAAATATGCGTACCACGATTCGTGTAATTTTTGACCGGAGTTGTTATTTATGATATTCTCTTTGTTTTTTTATTATTTCTAAGTGTTCGTACCATCTTCTTTTATAAGTATTTTGTTCCTTTTTAAGTATTTTGACAGTATCCTTAACAATCTAACAGCCTCCAATCCTTATTGTATCAACATTACCGTTTTTAATGGAAATTCTTGTTTTATCGCGGGCGTAGTCTTTTAATTAATGTTCAACGCATCGAATCCACATGTCAAATGTAAGTCCATATCCTTTGTTCAGTTCTGTCAATCACGGTATTTTTATAAAAATTGTTAACCTCCTATTAATTTTGTAGCAAAAAGCTGTTGAGGGACTCCATGTCCGAAATGCATTCGAAAAATAAAATAATGTTTTTCTAAATCTAATTTGATGTCCTGTGGTGGTGTAATAAGTCTAGCAGTAAAGTAAAGCCAATCTTAGCGCTCACAAGCCATTCAGAAGAATAGACAAGAAGCGTATCATGGTATACAGCTCACCATTCTGAGGAATCCGGGTTCGAATCTTGACAAGCAATACCCCCCTGGAATTTTCATTGATGATATGCCTTTGGATAAGTCGGGCCTCCGTTCCCCATTTCATGATGGGCCTAGCGGAAATCATGATGGGGTGATGAGGTGGGGGATAATCAGTATGGCCCATTATAATCTCGAATTCATGACCAATAGAAGCTTTCTCTTTTAATTTAAAATATATAAAATTAATACTCTTTAAATG